AAAAAATTTAGAAAAAAAAGGTTCCCACGTGAGCATTTGATATAAAAGAATGAAATCTATCAAAATAGTAGTCGGTTAATGAACAGCTAAATGCTATCACACCTAAACCCTGTGTCAAACTAGGACAATTGTTATTATATTTCACTTCAATGTAATGAATGTTATTTTTCCTTGTATCTTCTGTCTTTCAGTTGCCATGTCAACAATAGGAGACAAAATCCTTGACACAGCTTTATCGAAGGTAGAGCTTGTTTCAGTTTGGAGTGTTGGTTTTTTCAACAAAGGGAATTATACAATACATTTTTTTAAAAATCAATGTTTTTTTTTTCTTCACTGCAGATTGGAGAGAAGAGTTTGTTCACCAAAGAGCTGGAGAATGCTTTGGAGAGGAACGAGTGAGTGTGATCTGCGTCATCTGTGGCTGACACCACACACCTTCATGGCTTTGTTTAACTAACTGTCAGGATACCACTTAAAACAAATTGGTCTAAACCCAACATATAAAATATGCAAAATGGACTCTGTCGGGGTTTTGGTTCACGTCTCTGGAGTGAGAACCAACTCCTTGAGCATAAACTAAAGATTTAACATCTAAGTTGTTATCAGTTGTAAATCAGCGAGACTGTACAACATTAGATTGTCCACATTTCCTTGATATTTTTTCTTTTTTTTTTTATCTCTGGAAGGCATTGAAACACTTTCAGAAGAACACAATTTAATTTCTTCCCTGCTGCTTCAGAAGCTACAGCTCTCTGTTCTTCCGTTCCCTTGAAGATGTTAAAAAAAGCCTCTCTGATCAATGACTGCATTATGGTGTGAAGAATGAAAGCAGGATGTAATCCTGACCTGGTTCTTCTGTGTTGTGCAGGGTTGACCTGGTGGTTCACTCTCTCAAAGATCTGCCCACCACACTGCCTCCTGGATTCACCATCGGAGCAGTGCTGAAGTGAGTTCCACACTATTATTCTCTTTGACAAAAACTTCTTGACAAGAACCTAACTCACCTCAGCTGAAGTCAGCTTCGTTAGGTTGGGATGGTCTTAAATAAAGTCTCCAGTCTGACTGGACTTTGTTTGGTTTGATTTATAGGAGAGAAAATCCTCATGATGCTGTGGTTCTACACCCCAAAAATGCTGGAAAATCTCTTGACACTCTGCCAGAAAACAGGTAACTGCCCAGTGACCACTAACAACCGTGCGAACAGTTATCACAGAATTGCACAAATTGACCTGATGACTTGTGTTTCAACAGCCCAATTGGGACCAGTTCACTGCGACGTGCTGCTCAACTTAAGAAGAGATTCCCCCACCTCACCTTTAAAGACATTGTATCCTCCTGTTTGGCTAAAGAAAGATCATTAAAACATAGTCCTTCACTGAAAGATAAGACTTTTTATGTCCTTGACGGTAATCTGTAGCGTGGTAACCTCAACACTCGTCTGAAGAAGCTGGACGAGGCATCAGACTTTGCTGCCATCATCTTGGCTGCTGCTGGTCTCAAAAGAATGGGCTGGGAGGAGCGCATCAGTCAGGTACAGCTCTAAACACATCAAAGTTTTAGATCGTTGAATGTCCCTCAGTTACCTGTGACCTTTGTCTAACAGTCAGATGTGTCTTTATTGTAGATCCTAGAGCCCCAAGACTGTATGTATGCTGTTGGCCAGGTATGAAATAATATGAGGAAATTCACTGCAAAATGATCTGTTTAGATGATACATTTTAACTTTTAAACAACTGTTAAACAACTGTTCAACACTTCCTGTGCCTCACCTAGAGTCTAAAGAAAAAAAATGAAACAGTATTATATAAATATTATTCTACTGATATTATTGACTTGTAGCAGTGTAGCTGAGATTCAATGAGGGTCGAAGTCATAATCACTGATGGTCCAGCAGGGGGTGTTGAAGCTCAAAGCTGTTTCCTTTTTTTTCATTCAACAACTTAAATTGTCCTGTGAAATAGTCTGTTTATGATGTTTACTGTGTTACAGTTCCCTCTAATTGTATGTATTTGTACACGTGTGTTTCAGGGAGCTCTGGCAGTAGAGGTACGGGCCAGAGACTTGGACATCCTGGAGATGGTGTCTGTCCTCCATGACCCTGATACTGTGCTGCGTTGCATAGCTGAGAGAGCATTCCTCAAACGTCTGGTACACACACACACACACCTAGACACGCACACAAACCGGTCAGTTTGCACAACTGGTGACAATTCAATGTCTAAATTGAACATTTTGTTGTCTGCAGGAAGGAGGATGCAGCGTTCCAGTGGCTGTTCACACTGAAGTGAAAGACTCACACGTGAGAATGTTATACTGGCACAAAGACACAGAAACTACTGTCACGTCACATTAAATAAGTTATCAAAAAACAAAGGATAAAATTAATAAAAAGATTCTGTTTATTTTCTCCAGCTCTATCTGACCGGATCAGTTTACAGTCTGGATGGATCAGACAGTCTAAAGGAAACCATGCAGACGAGCATCACTGCTGATGACAAGGTAACATCTCAGTTTTTTTGGAAAACTTTCAGCAATGTAAACACAAAAAGGGATGATTTTTTTATTCAACTTTTTTGCCAATTTTCCCAAAATATCTTCACGTTAATTTGAGAAGAAATCATTGTGAAGGATTTGTAATTATTTTCATCTATATATTAACAGAGCTCAGAGGAAGTAGACGAGCGCCTACAACGAGTTGGAGTGACGGCCTGTAAGATCTCTGGTGAGGCCCAGGACAGGGCAGAGCAGCTTGGTGTCGACCTGGCCAACTTACTGCTGAGCAAAGGAGCCAAGGAAATTCTGACGGTGGCACGGCAGCTCAACGACGCCAGATAATCCTGCTCTGCTGAGACCACGTCAGTCAGAGCTCCGTGTCCTGAATGAACTTCATTTACATTCTAATTTTTCTTAACATTACACACTTAAGGTGAGCAACATAGCGTCACCTGGTGCTGTGTTTGTTTTAGCACCAGGTGAGCTCAGCAAACCGGTCAGTTTTGCGGCGTATACCATAAATTGTACTCAAAAATTGTTTGCAGACTTGTGTTCCAAAATCCTCATCTAAATTACTCTGATGTTAATTCTGTAAATTAAAAAAAAAAGTATTTAAAGCAAAAATAAAGAACATCAGAAAATGGTGCACCTGCGTGTACACTGTGTGTAATTGACAACAGCAGTTGGTAAACACCTCTGAGATTCAGGTTTTGTTTTTAGTATTGTCAATAAGAAACAGATCAACATATATCAAAAATGTATTATTATATATTATCTGTATTAATACATAATTGATGAAGAAAGATCCAACTTGATGGAACCAAAGATGAGGTTGGAACATGAAGGATATACAGTGTTTACTGGTGTGTTGTATACAGTTGTCTTCTGACATGTCAGTAATTATGAATGTTAATGATGCTGTTTTAACTTGATCAGACTGTATCCACTAGAGGTCATTATTGTTATTCAGCCAATGCTGAGTGAACTTTTTAGCTGTCATATTTAAACACAGACGGGGCATATACAGGATGTTAAATAGTTTAAATTTGGTAAAAGTAGACTCCTGTTGCTACGATACAACCTACCAACCTAAAATTCTTACCTGTATAATTGTTTCTTTGTACTTTCTGTTAAAGTGCCATCTCCGTACCAAGATGCCTTACCAGAGTCATATCATAAACTATCCAAATGTACAGACATTGTCTCTTCCTGTTAAGAGATTATTTTATATAACAATCCTTTATATAAACCTACTGTCCAAGATGGTAACATTAGCCATGACTTGTGGTTTCTTTCAGCTTTAATTCCCTGTTTGTTTTACAGTAAACAGTCATTGATGTTTTATTTACATATTTAGTCACAGTTGCCAGTCACTGAACTCTTCTGTTTAAAAGTCTTCTCAAAACTGAAACTTGAAATAAAAAAATAAACATAATAATTGCTATGTGTATTTGTGTATATGCTTTATTAATGTAGAATGTGTCAGGTAATTAATCACTAATTTTATAATTAAAGACCCACCAGTTAAGCTGGGTATTTACAAATGAGAAAAGACTGCACTTTGGCAGACTACATTTGAATTCACTTTGCATAAAGTTAAATGAGTTTTGTTTTTGTTTGACGTACTGTAGTTTAGAATGATGTAGACAACATTTCAGTCTTGTAACAGTTTTAACCAAAATAACAGTTTTAACTTTGTGTACAGAAACAAAATGGCCACCGACAAATTAATATCTACCAAAGAAAATGAATGTAACATAAGTTAATTTTCAAAGTACACGTTTTAAACTACGCATTTTCAAATACAGTCCTAATAGAGTACTTAAACCTAGTATTAAGTGAAAGTAATACTTCTCCCCTACATGGTAATGGCGCAGCGTCCCACGTCCCTTTACATGTTTTTTCCGTTTGTTTGTTAATTTTATTTCGGTTCCCTTTTCATAGGTATTTTTCGTATTTGTATGTCGCCAATATAGCATTCTCTGTTTAAAGCATTATGATAAACACAGGGGAGAAAGAAAAACAACGAAAGTAATAATATAAACATTGAATAAAATTCACACATCGAATAAAAGTATTTACAAACTTACTCATCGCCTTCGTTCGTCTTGGAGATAACAGATCGTATATAATCTCTGCATTACGTTCGTCTTGGAGATAACAGATCGTATACAGTATAATCTCTGCATTAAGGCCATTAAGTGTAATACAAGCTCTGGACGGTAGGAGGTAGTCATATACACGGAAACATAGTTCAAGCTTTTTTGGGTTCCTTTTAAGCATTGCCAGACTTTTGTTTAAATGTTGTGTTTTAAAGGAACTTTATTATTATCTTCTAACGAGTTTTACTACAGTCTGTGCCAAACAAGAACAAATAGTTCTATTTATATGAATAATTGAGTCGAACTGAGACAAATGGGCAGCCACAACATCAGGAGACATTACTTTAATTCTCACAACAACACAGTCACTCCATCCATAGAAGACTTTTAGAAGCTGCATGTACACACTGTACGTCTTGAATGCAGTCCACACCTGAGAAAAATTCCTGCATGCTGTTAAAAGCAACACTCTTTTTTTTCTTTACATATTTGCTCGTAACGTGGAAGAAATGTTTATAAATAAATAGAAATAAAATCGGAAGACCTTTCTTTTCTTTTCCAAAATATGATTATGTACAGCTACTCTGCGGCCCAGAACGACATTTAATAAACACAGACTGCAACAGAACGCTGCTGGACCAGTATTAAAAAAGCTACTGTATGATTGTCAATAATGCAGGTTGTGCTGTTTATAGTTTTGTTATTGGTTGTGTACATACACTGCATGACAGCTGGAAGTCACAGTTGTACTGGATGTGCTACATGTGGCACCACAGAGGACACAACATGAGGGGCCGCAGTAAGACAGATGTGACGAATCTCCCCTCAGCTACTGCTGCAGGACAACAAAAAAATTGTGTTTTCTTCGTTGGGTATCATGTTGTTGTTCAGGAAAGAAGGATTTCTTATACTTTTTAAGTCTACATGAAGTTTGTAAAATTAAGTACAGAAATTGTGCCACATTTTTGTTGCCGATCCTCCTGCTAAAATACAACTAAAGATCCAAACTGCTTTAGCGCCCCCTTTAGGCTGTGGCTGACATGGCACAAGGTCCTAAAACATAAATCATAGACTTTATCCAGAGTAAATCCTCCGTTTGTTTTCAATGGACTTTTAAAGGTCGTTGTATCTATCTGCAGCAACTCTGCCTTCTACCTGTGTTTTTTTCTTTTAACGCAGTTGTCCATTTAAGAACAGCCGGGTCAGGCGAAGCAAATCCTAAGACCCACTTTCTTTTTGCGTGTGGTGATGTAGCAACACACAACCAGCATTCAGTGATACTCGTAACATGTCACAGAGCCGGTGTGTTGGCAGTAAGAGGATACTGCAGTATTTACTAGCGAAACACAAGCAGCGAGTGAGCTAATGCTAATTTCAGAAAAGTAGAGAGTGGACTGACGCTACTTGTCAGAGCTGTCAATTACAACCAGACCTACTACTTCCTGTGTCCTGACAAACTTTAGCGTAGGGGAAAACGTGAGGCAACCTTTTTTTCACCAACTGAGGCAGGAACCTCCTTCTTCACCATTGTTTGTGTAAAGAGAAAAGTTCCAGTATACCTCTGTCTTGTTTTGCAGTGTGGTTAGGTTGGAGGATACACTAAGGGTCTGGGGTCTGGCAGACAGTCTGGTCATTCTTGTTGGAGTGTCTCCCTCCAGTCAAATGTATGGTTTGGTCCATGTGTGAGGGGAAGGATGGGAGGGTCGGCCAACTGCCACACTCCAGTATCGCCCTGCTCCTCACAGGAGCAGAAACCCAGGTAAGGAATCTGAGGACGTAGCAGAGGAATCAGATGGTTAGTTTCATAAGATCTTCAAACGAGCACACTATTTAATTATTCTACTATAATTACAGTATGTATTATATAAACTACTATGTCAACAGTCTTTATGCCAACCTTTAGCAAGTTTGGTGCCTCTTTGGCTAACTCTTGGTTTCTTTGGCTACATACAAATTTTAGCTAAGTTTAATGGGAAAATTTTTTTTTTATCTCTTTTTTAATTAAAAAATATAGATTGAGTTATCTAAATTAAATTAGATTTTTTTTCTAAAAAAAATAACTTGAATACTTGAATTTCTTGGAAAAAGTCAGAAAGACATTAAATAGACGTTAAACATTATATAGCACCACCTGGTGGAGAACGAGAGTGTAGAGATGTGTATTAACTTTCACTAATCCTAATTGTCTGCATATTCTATAAAGTTCTTAAACTTGTTAAGCATCTTACTGTTGTTGCAGAGCTGTGTACTCTTTGATGGTACAATCAAAGCTTGAATATATAAATACATTTGTGTTTAAAAGGTTTAATGATCAAATAAAAGCTATTAATTCCTACAGACCTCACATTTCAGTGCTGACCAGCAGGAGACAAAATTTTAAACTCTGACCAAAAAGTGAAACCACAGCACTACCTCCAGGCTTTCGTGTAAAAGTCTTTATAACTTCCTTTCCTTGCTGGGTTTATTTTATTCATTTTTTTATTGGTTTTCAAACTGACAGACTCTGTTTTGTTGTGATTTGTCAAAGAACAGGCAGAGAAATAGAAAAAAAACGCCTGCAGTTATGAAAGCTCACGACTCTGTTTTCTCAGGAATGAGCAGCCAAACAAAGAAGCATTATCTGGAGAGGAAGTTTAGGGTCTGGTTGGAATCTACAAGCAAAATAAACATTATGTCACTAGCTGTGTGTATGAAAGCAGCTCAGTTCCCTGATCGCTGAGCGAGGTGTCAGAGTGGACCCGCAGGAGTTGAGGATTAATCTTTTTACAACCAGAATAGTCTGAAACAAAGACAAAATGTTTTCTGTGACCTGCTGCTGGAAAGACTCAACTTTTAACTGCCCTTCAGAGTTCTAAAAATACTTTGTAGTATAATTCCAGCACTAAACATATCTAACTCAGACTTCCTCCTACATATGGATGCCTCACATCTGTGGAGTTGTAAAAGGGTCACCCATATGTTCCGACATCCGGCCACAGTAAAAATGGTGGGAGGAAGTGAGGGAACCAGATGGAAATGTCGATGGATAAACTGACACCTAGGATGTGTAGTCAGGACGACCTGGACTAGATCAGAGACATATTCAGTGAAAAGACCTTTCTGACGACTTGGATGAAGTCCTTAGGGCTCCGTGGGCCGCGGCCCTGCAGCTGGCGTGTGCAGGCCTCTAAGGAAGAAGCGTGGGCTACAATCAGTACGTTGTTTCCTACAAAGAGTGGAAATCACAGCAGCACAGAACATCAGCAGAGGACAAAAAACATGAATATGTAGAACAATAAAAGGAAAAGTTAAGCTGGACCAGTGGTTCCCAAACTTTTCCTACAGCGCCCCCCCATATCAACACACAGTACTGCTGCTTTAAAACTCCACTGACTGAAATAGAGAACATATTAAAACGGAAATGAATTTACCTTGATGTAAATAGTTACTACAAGCTACAATAGTTCTGTGCGCCATAAGGAGGACCCACCCCTCACTTTGAGAACCACTGACCTAGACAGACTTTTTTTAAATCTGGTACATGTAGCTTCTCTTACCAGTGTTTTTGCAGTCGGACAGAAGGTCTTTGGTCACTTGGTAGCTCCGACTCATGTAGTTCTCATAGGACTCAGACACAGTGAGCTTGCTGACAGGAATCAGTGGTCTGCATGGAGGAAAGTGTTTTAGTCGCTATTAAGTTAAAAACACTACAGGTTATATGTTCCTTAAATATTTCTGGGTAATTTTTTTTTTATTTATAAGCTTTGAGTGCTGTTTTTGAGAAACAGCTGCTTTTCTCTATCATTGTTTGTGCGTGTATTGACATGTTCCTGGATGTCCAGTTGTAATTTTAGTACAATAAAATTCCCCTTGGAATCACACTTCCAAAATAGCAAACCTCTGCCATGACTACAGCTCAGTGAAAAAGTGTTTGGTTTCTGGGTGTGGAAGAATTACAGACAGATGCGTTTGAGCTCCAGAGCTGGAACACGGCACATCTGTGGCATCAACACAGTCACAGCTGCAGGTAGGACATGTAAACTGCACTCTCTCAAATATGTACTGTGCACACCACACACACACACACAGTTTCCTGTTTTTGTCCCCTAGTGTGGCCAAGTGTCTCTGAGCAGGACGCTGAACGTGAACTAAAGCTGTGTCATCGTGTCTGGATTAGAGCAGGAGGCATTTCTTCTGCTGGAACCAAACCCAAACTCAAGAGCGTAGTTAACCTGCGGGTCAGGTCCAGACCTGACTGTTAACTTGAACCAAACCCAAACTCAAGAGCGTAGTTCTTCGGGTCAGGTCCAGACCTGACTGTTATCTTATTTGTTTTCATGTGATCCAGACCGTGTACTCCAAATGCTCTTAAACATGAAACTGATTTTAGGTTTTAAAATAAAAGTAGTGTTGTTTGACAGACACATGGTCCTGCTGTGACGAGAGTAACCGCTGGGCTCTGTGATGATGTTTTTGTATATCATGGTACAGCAAACTGCACAATACATAATAAAAAACAACAACATGACAATAAAAGGTATGTTAGATTGTAACACTGATGGTAAGGTTACCTGTACAGTGTGTCCACACTGAAGTTGGCTGCAGCCAGGTCGGCCGGTGGAATCCACGCAGGCAGTGAGTTTCCAGAAACCCACTTGGTCCATTCAAAAAGTCCTGGTTCCACTCTTACTTTCAGTTTACCGTCTTGTTGTAGACCTAAACACACACACAGACACATACAGATGTAGAACAAATCAGGTTGAAACAATAACTTGAATCTTAATTCGACTAAGGTCCTGGTCAAGACTAACAGCTGGGGTTTTTTTTGTCTCTAAGACCAAACACTTCCAGTGGGTTCTGGGAGAACGTCTCTGCAGGCTCCGACTTCTCTCACCTTTCAGGATGTTCTGTGCCGTCTGCACACATCTCAGAGACGGAGAACAGTACAAAAAGTCTATCACCGTGTTACTCTCTAAAAGGGCTTCACCTGGAAGAAGAAGACGAAGATGTTTTTTATTAGAATCAGTATTAGAATACCCTGTTGAAGTTATTCAGGACGAGTCCCTTGTTATCCTGTAGGCAGCTGCTGTATGTATCTGATCATAAACACAGCTTTTTACACATTACATGTTTACACTGGTTACATTAGAATCAATCTAATAGCTGAATATTTAATAATAATAATAATAATAACAATAATAATAATATTTATTAATATCATTATTATTATTAATAATAATATTTATTATTATTATTATTATAATATCACATCCAGACCACGTACCTATAACTCGAGCCTGTGTGGATCCAAACACAGTGAGAGGAGTGTCCATGTCATAGTCCCTCTGCCCGCCCCACAGGGGCAAACTGGGAGGCATGTTGAGGTTGGAGCGCACGTATCTACCTGTCAGACAAATGTAACACATATTAGCAGCATATAAAGATCCCGTGCAGGGCGTTTACTGAGCAACTGTACATCATCTGTCAAGGAAAATTAGCATTTTAGGGAAGGACAATGCGGTCGGTTTTTAATGTTATATCCCACAATTAATTACTAGAGCAATTAACATTCACAAAAAATACCCACAATCCCTATAATGATAGAAATAATAGCAGTCATCATTTTGCCCGTGCATCGTCCTCCTCTACATTGACATTTGTGTCCAACTCTCTGGTGATGAGGCAGAAAACAAATGTCTGCTAACTCAACTCTCTGGTGATGAGGCAGAAAACAAATCTGTTAAGTCTGCTAACTCAGTTGCTAACACTGAGGCTGATGTTAAAAAAGAAAAATGAAGCTCACAATATCGACCTTTGGAAACCCAAAACATCCGGGAAACGTCAAAGACTCTCTGTTACTGATGTAACGTTGGGTTTGAACAGATTAACGTCGTCCTCACCTTTACTGTCTGAGCACAGGGAGAGCCAGTGTTTACCAAAGACCACGTCCATCCTCTCTCCGTGCCTGCAGACGAATAGTGAGCGTTTGGACTGTCGTGGATGACCACCACCACCGCTGATCCTCAGAACCTGCTGGGACGATATCAATGCATGCTGGGATTTAATGGGCAAAGAAATTCAGTTACAACAAAAAGTGAGAATAAAGAAGTACCTGCATTGGATGACAAATAAGACTGAGGGAGGGCGTGTCTCCAGGGCTGCTGCTGTCTGGGCGTCGGCTGTCCAGCAGTCCATCAAACATCCCTCTGTCCTTACAGGCCTTATCACTGGGCCCACAGCTGAAGAAGGAATGGGAGCTGTGGTGGACAAACACATGTCAGACACATCGGCCTTTGACCATTCAGCTCAGCTGAGTTCTCTGGACCCTAACACCTTGTCGAGATCTGGAGTCTCGCTCTGAGATCAGAGGACAAAGAAGGTCTGGTTTGGGCTGATTCGAACAAAAGGTGGTAAAAAAAATAAAAGTTTTATAACAAGGGTTTGAAAAGAATTTTTCTACTTGTGGTTGTAACATTTTCTTAGTAAATAAAAACCTCACAACATGCCTAAAAATTCTCATTAAAAAGGGTTTGAAAAGAATTTTTCTACTTGTGGTTGTAACATTTTCTTAGTAAATAAAAACCTCACAACATGCCTAAAAATTCTCATTAAAAAGCCAACTTTTGTAAATTTATTTTTAAATAATATATATATATATTTAAACTTGACAAAATGTGTTTTCAACCAGACATTCCTTTGCTTCATGGACCCCATTATTATGTTGTGATCTTTCAGGTTCCATTTACTAAATCACTCTGTCCTTTATTATCTGCACCATCTGATCTGCTCACCCATGGAAAACCCAAGTGTCAGACTCATCAGCCAGGTTGACATAATTCTCAGGCAGCAGTCCGGACAGCCCTGTGGTCAGTGAAGTCCCGTACACCCAGCCCTCACTGGTCCCAGTCTGGTCCACTGGGGACATGAAGACAAAATCTCCGGGAACCAGCTCCAACTCATCCTCATTCTGAGGCATGTAGGGGTACATTACCCTCAGGGTCTGCACATAATGAGTGAGGAAGGAGTCAGAGGGTGGGCTACAGGGACGGACATCGCTCTGCTTCATTTGCAGTTTAAACATTCACAGGTAATTGGATTGAAATGTACCTCGTGGTTGGCAAAACGAATGTCCCTGGAGAACAGAACAGCCAGCCAATCGCAGCCCAGCTTGACTTCGATGCCCTTGGCCAGTTTCTCCAGAGATGAGAGGTGATCACTGGGGAAGTTGTAGGCCAGGGTGACATGGAGCTGCTTTTTATGAGGCTCCACGTGAACCTCTGGGGGGAGAAGAAGGTGAGATCATATGAAAGAAGTGACTAATAAGTGAATTTCCTCTGGTTGGTGGAAAAAACCAAGACACTTGGGGTCGTGGCTAGGTCATGGTTTTGAATAAATCATGAAACTAAAATACCTCAAGGTAATTCTCATCTTAACTTACATCCAACCATATATAGTGTTTGCTAGGAGACACAGTACGAGCAGATCGAGAGTTCAGTTTGTGATAATGCTTTTTAAAAACAGGTTCTTATCTTAATTTAATTTAACTTATCTTAATTTTTTTAATTTAACTCAACTATCCTGAATAATTTGAATAAATTTCCTCTTTACTTTTTTTCTTTTCTTCTCGTAGTACCGACCTGCTGTCCTTGCAGCCTCTGTAGCGAACTCGGCTGCAAACTGCTTGAGGATGTCAGCTATCTGCTCTTCCACAAAAAGTCCAATGAAGTTGGAGGATGTGTAAAGCTCCAGGGGTAGGGGGGTTGGAAAGCGACCTCTCCACTGCTGTACGGTGGCCTGCAGGGCCTCACACAGAGCCTCTACTTTGTGGTCAGCACACTGTGTACCAGGAGAAAAAAAACAACATTCTTTAAAAAAAAGAAAAACATTACTGAAATTGATTGCTCTTTTTAAATTAAGAAATATTTTAAAAGTAACTCCAATTTAAAGGGAAATAGACTGTAAAGCATGGTGGGTGATCGCTCTGACTGTACACAGTTGACAGTTATATTATTAAATGGCTACAAATTGGAAAAAAGTGCTTCACAACAAATTATTTCAGTTATTTTAAATGTTTGTGCACATATGCGGTGCACGCACGTTATAATTATAAATAAATACCGGGTTATGGAACAGCACACTTCTAAGGAGGCTGTGGTTTTTGAAGAACACCCAAGTTTTTGGGTCTTGGGTTTGCCGCACAAATGTGGACCCGGATATGCACTTTAATGGGGGTGTTTAAAAATCTGCACTGGCCACAAGGAAACAAACAAACAAACTTTCAGAAAAAGGTCCCGACACAGCTGTAATGTTTACTGGTCCTGTTTGTAGTGAACACGGAATGGGAACTTGTCACAGATGCAACAAACACTGCTGCCTGCTCTGGAGCTGTTGATGTTGATGTTGATGTTGATGTTGTATATATCTACAGCTGACGGGAAAAAGCAAAGCAGCGATGCATAAACAAATGTGATTGGTAAATAACTAGTGAACCTGTGTGTAAACCATGTTGTAGTGACTAAAACTGTCAGTAAACAGTGATGAAGGTTTACTAGATTTAGTTAAATATAACTGCATCCATGGAATTGAAAATGACTTCTTTAGTCTTCCCACTCCACTCCAATTTTATCCTACATTAATGTTCTTTGGGTTTTTTTTTTGCATTGGTTAATTTTTTTTTTTTTTTTGCTGATGTGAAGAGGTTAAGGTGATTTTTCTTTCTGTTGGTGAAGCGTAAACAGACGGAAACATTACATTTACAAAAAAATCCCTGGCAATTTTTCCTCTTTTTTTTCTGATAAGTCTCAGTTCTACGGTAAACTGATACGACAACAGATAAACCTACTAAAGTATGTTCTGGAAGAGTTCTGGGGCTTTACAGAGTTTTGCTCCACTTCCCCTTGTAAGTCAGTAACAGGGGGGTAGATCAGGGCAGGGTTTTTTGCTGAAACCACCTTTTTAGTTCCTAAACTACTTTTCCATGTAAAAGTGCCAACTAAAAAAAATAAGAATTGAAGAACTGAGTTATTTCTGTGTGAAGTAGATTTACTCTGGACCTTAAATCTACTGGTATAAAGTTCATGTCAGGGAAGGCTCGATCCGTTAGTCAGGTACTGGTCCGATATTGGTCAGACTTTGATGGCAGACTTTGATATTGTTGCCGTATCGGTATCGTACATGAAACGTTCTTTCAGGCCATCCTGGCGTGTGTTGTGAACTCACCATGAAAAACTGGCAGAGAGTGATGTGAGGGAAAATGTTGTGAGCTTTGTTTTTGCCACAGGTGACTCTGCTCTGCTGCCAGAAATGTGACAGCTGGTTCTGTAGTGGTCCACTGGGTCGCAGGTAGAGGACAAACTCCCTGGGCAGGGGGTCGTCCAGGAACGGGTCATCCACATGGGAAAACAGCCTGAGAGAGGGATGTAGGTGATGAGAGGAAAAAACAATGACTGATCGAAGTGTTTATTTCAAGTATGAAAATAAAAAAAATACATATTGAAAAAACATGGTACAAAACATTTAAAGATTGGACATAGAAATGCATATTCAAAAAACGAGTGAGATATATGGTACAAAACATTTAAAGATTGGACAAAATGCATATTCAAAAAACGAGTGAATAAGAAGTATAACTTATAAACCCCCACCTGTTCTCCTTAACTGATGATGTGAAGACAAACACATCGAGACAAAAAGAAACAATTTGCATTTCTTACTTCACAGTAAGTGAACTTTCTGTTTTACTATATTGACTGATCATCGTAATTCTGCGGCAAATGTTACCACACAAAAGCAGTAGTGCTTTCTGGACAATGTTACTACAGTAAGTACATTACATAATATGTCTGAAAAAGTCAAACATTAAACAATCACATTTCTCAACTTCCAGAGAAACTGTTAACACACCAGTTATCCTAGCATCGGTAAGTGGCATAAATGTAAATATACAATCCAATTAAGGTTCAAATTTGGTTTATTTATAAAATGTGTTCCATCCTGCCTCTGGTACAGATCTGCCTCCAGTTGAAAATATTGGGTTATAAAAAAACAGAGGTAACAACCACAGTTTCTTTCCTACAGCAAGGATGTGCCATAACGTACAGTGAACATGTGCATTAACAGCAGAGGGCAGTGTGACACTTTTTTTTTCTTCCTCTGAAGTTGTACTATTGTGCATCAGAATGTACTGTACAGACACTGGTTTTCTTTACTCACCAGTCACATGCTGCCTGTACACTCCGGCCTCCTGTTGATACCAGCGCTTTTATTCTACAGATAACAGAGAGAGAGAGAGAGAGAGAGGAACAAAAAACAAAAGTGAAAATCAACAACAGTGTCACAGTTTCTCCACAACTACTCATGGTACCAGTGTAGCAAACGAGAGACTCACGAGTCAATTATCTGTTTCAAGTCATGTTAGCAGAGTATTGTCATTTATACATTTGAGATAAAGAAGTCGAGCTGCAGAAGAACACAGTACAGTACAGTAAAATAAAGGAGAAGTGTTCCAGTTCCATATTAACTATGGGGGAAACTGCAACCGCGAAAATTATAAAACCAAAAGGTCAATACAAAATGGGGAAAAAGTGTGTTGAAAAAACAAAGTATATAACAAAGTAGAATATTTGGAGATACTCCATGGCGTGTACTGTATGTTCACTTTAAGAATAATGTCATGGAGTCTGCTTCATCTGTGCTTTTTTTATTTTGTTATTGAAAACTGTTAACTGGTTTTGGATCCAGGTTTTGAACAACATGACATGTCAGTGGAAAAAATGAGTGTCGGGGATTTACTTTCTGAACCTGAGGTGTCCTCAGTCTACAAGTATCAAAAAGTCAGAAGGAGTCAGGGTTTCTCTGACAGAGGACAGTGAAAATGACACATGAGCGGAAAGACATTATCACTGACTTACAGAGGAAGCTGTAGCATAACAAAGGTGAAGCAAGCCTACAGGAGGTAACTCCTCTTAACCACAATGAACATTCTCAGTGACTCATCTGAATAACCTGGAGTCTGCTGTTAGTGAAGAAACGCAACACAAGTGTGACGGAATACTGCTCGTACTGACTATTTCCATTAAGGTAAAATTATGAGAAAACAACGTCTTTTTATTTTGCCAAAGTAAACAGACAAGGCGCCACACGGTGTTTTGTAATTAGCTGCTTAAGATGGATGATGATGACGACTTCATAACAGAGCAGCAGCACAGAGTTTTCCATTTAAGTCTCTCTCCTGAAACCTGGAGACGTGGCTGATAAGGAGGAGAAGGATGAGCACATCAGATTATTCATAATGGAGTCACGGAATCTAATTAGCCACCACTCTAAAGATAAGAATTGCACATATTAATGTGGTTTCGTCTCCAGGGAGCAGGCGGCTCCCCGAGAGTGTCATCAGATGCGCCTCCTTTGGGAAGGAAACGATGAGTGGGTGTTTGTGTGTTTGCACGCAAACGTGTGAACTAATGAACACATGCTGACTGCAAAGGCTGGATCCTAACAGAATGGCCTGCTGAAATGTTTGAAATGAAGCATAACA